TATAATTAGCCTGTGGTAATGAAATAAGTCAGAGGCACTGCCACCTTCACTTAAGAGAAAATCGATCTGTATTTGAGGGAGTTTATTAAAGCTTAGGAATAATGGGAAGATAGGATAGAAGGGGTGGAGGAGTGGAGGTGATGGAGGCTGAGCGCACATTAACAGCTAATCAGAACGAAAAGGTGGTAGCATTGGGGCAGAAGCTTGACAAGAAGCAGAACAGAGATCAGCTGGAGTTTCCCAAAATAAAAGCGTTTAAGGTCTGTTCTATCTCACAGGGGGAAGCCATAGGACGTGAGAGCTATGAACATGTGAGACATACATGCTGAATATAAAGATGAGATATTTTTTTCTTTTTTAAACATAGTTTATCAAGGCCTGTTGCAAAAGAGGATTCGGACTGATAGATAGTCACTGGAAGTGCTTGAAAGGGTCTTTTTGGATGTTGGGTGAATAACTTGAGCTTGGTAAGCACCGGGTGTGGTGAGATAATCACTGATGGACATTTCTCCTCAGGTTCCCCAAATGCATGCTGGTTGATGTGGGTGCTGCTTGCTCATTTATCCAGCCGTCTGGCCAACTCACCTGGAGTGATGGGGGAGACGTCAGGAAGGCAGGCTGCTATTTCACGGCCTGTTAAGCGCTAATGCCGCAACATGCCCTGCGCTCCAATTTTAGGGAACAGGGAGCATTACCGCCCAACTCAAGGTTCTGTCCGTCTGGACTGTGGACTTGGACAGTAGTGAGGGGATGGGATTAGCAAGAAGAAAAAGAGGTGGGAGTAGAGGAGAATGATGAGATGTCTTGTGAATGAATTAAAAGACAGAAATAAAACAAACAGAGAAAAGCTCACAAAATAGTAAAAAGCAGAAACAAGTGGAATCTTTTTCCACAGGCTGCTGAGCAAGCACTGTGGAGCAGACAGGACAGCAGCACACTGACATCCACTTCTGCCATGCTAGGCTGCTTCTCGCAGGCCCCAGAAGGCCCCTCGCTCCCAGGCTTACAGCCTTTCCCTTGCCAGAGCTCCTGAACATCACTAGCCTGACCCACCCACAACATTTGTCCTCAGTGTGCACTAAACTTGGCCCATGTAATAACCACAGAACCTCCATTAAGCACTGCATGGCTAGAGAATCAGAGCATCTACAGCACAGTGTGAACGGTGTAAAGAATCTCCTGTAAAACAAGTGAAAATGTGCTCAAGTTATGCCAATTCTTTGTGTTCTGGCTTGTGAATGTGTAATATGAATTATGCATAAAAACATCATTCTCTTCTGTTCTGAAGTACTGGGAAGAAATTGCTAGCTCTTTATCCCATCCTACATTCACTGAACGGAGGGCAAAAGTCAAGTCATTTATGTCAAGCATGTGCTTACAGTAAACATCACATCCATCATAGTGTAGTTACAGCAGTGATGGATCACCTTTCTCATCTGCCATTCTTGAGGTGTGAGGTGTTTAAAGGACATGACCCAGGTCTTTCAAGGCTGCAAGAGGTGGCGTGCACATGGAGAAAGACACAGCAGAGTCCAAGCAACATAAGTCAGCACAGATGAAACCCGCACTGTATTTCTATATACACAATATGAAATAGCAGTTATGGGCCAATTTCTACAAGCTCTCATGTGGCCTTGCAGTCCTAAGTCATTTTCTTCCTCTGCTTTCCCTCTGCACCAAGCTCACGTTCATAGTATTCGCCACCTCTGCTGCTAATACAGCAATTAGCTCTAGTAAATTAGACATGTTACAAGGCATAGGGCCTTGCAGACAAAATCACAAGAAGGTGAGTTACACACTTTCCAAGTAACTGACAAGGGTGCCAACAAGAGCCATCGGCCATGGCATGTGACTCATAATGATTTCAGTTCAGTATGTTCTTTATCTCATATTGTTGAATATTCAGCAACTGTACTATAATTTTTCAGCCCATGACAGTCTTTTTGGACTGATGGACACAAGCTAAATAGTGTCTGCTAAAGAATTTCCCTTCTCTGATGCATGATGCATTTCTGGTAATTGCCCAAGTGCTTGTTAGGGCTACATGCTTGTGGACTATCAAAGCTCAGTGGCAGGCTGGGACTATTATGCAAGGCTCGTGATTTGCTGGAACTAAACAGTAGGATTAAAAAAAAGATACAGGTACAGTTAGGTGAATGAGTAGAAGAATACAACAAAAAACACTGGGCTCAGTGACAAAGGCCTAGAGACTGGTCAGTGATATCCTGGCAACCTCCCATCACCATAGAGAAGAATGCGTAACCCAGACCAGTTGATGAGTGGTTTCTGGAGGTTGCCGGCTGTCACTTGTAGAAATCAATCACAAAGACGGTGCTACCAGATTGTCATGGTCATTGGTAATTTCCAAGGAAGACGCTGATTTGTTTGCAAATATCAGTTAACCAATGACTTTGCAATAGTGAAACTTGGAAATGAGCATTTCAAACTAGAAACAGGGAACATTCAGCTTCCAAATAAAAGTTGTGCCTTACTGCAGAAACCAACAGGTTTCAAAAGGCAGAACTTGGACGGGGAATGGTCTGTGTTTTTGGTTTGTGATTAAGCCGTCACAGTTTTATTACCATTCAACAAGTGGTTGGCACTTGTTGAATGGTAATAAAAGTCAGCATCTTCCATTCAAACTATGGGTGACCACAGCAATCTGCTAGCGGCCAAAGCGATCAAAAGGGGGTTTTCGGTGCAGTACCGTACACTTTTCTGCGCCCATTTTCTCCTAACAATTGCCAGTAACCTCTCACAGCCACTCACCAACTGACCAACTGATCAGATACTTACTTTTTCTCCCAGTGACTGATAGTTATTATGTGATTGCCAAATACTCACTATGCCTGACATCTCTGTCAGTGTTTAGCCATCACTGTGTATTATTTGGATAATGACAGAAATGTTACTGCTGAATCCAACATGCCATAAACGTTTTCATTGTTCTTGGTCTTAAAACCAAGTTATATGTATTCTATGTTAAGTAGTTGAGAAGCAGTTGTTAACTGTGTACTCTATTAGAAAGCCTGCTGACTTTACCTCTTGCCATTCATGTTTGACTAATTCTGCCTGCAATGAATTTAATAAAGAAGAACTGTTTTAACTTTTGGGATTTTTTTTTTTGTTTTTTTGTAGTTCAGAATTGTAGTCAGTTGAGCTGTGACAGTGATATTCCAATTGAGGAAGTTATTCCAAAGAAAAAACAGCTGCTTTTCTGAAGCACTGAGCAGGATAGATGCTGGAAAATAGAAAATATAATACAGTATTCTGAGGAGGCACTGCCTCAGTGGATGCTGATATGGGTACAGATGATATAGCAGACATCAGGAAAAAGTAAGACATAAGCTCACTTTCAACTAATATCAATTGTTGCTTAGCAGTAAATATTCTGCTTTAGATATAAAGTAGGTTTGTTTATATTTAAAGTCTCGAACTATGATTTACTTATAAGAGTGGTCATGTTTACACTTTTCCTCAGTTTTCTTAACTACTATTTGAGCTTAGTATCATTTGCACCTAGTAATCATTGAGAAAGAGATGGGACTTAAACCCTAGACCTGTCAAAGGTGCATCACGGCGTACCACATACAGAGCGACAAATCTTCACTCTTACATTTACACCTACAGCCAATTTGCAATCACCAGGTAACCTGCATGTCTTTGGACTGTAAGGAATTGTGCCACACAGGCATGATGAAAGGTGTTCTATGAGTTTGGGATTCTACAGTCAACTTAGTTTTTATATCCAGTGGAAGTGCACGCACTTTGCCTTCCTATCACCATATAACTCTGACAGATGTCACTTGGCTGCTGTGCATTTTTTCCCCCTAAGAAACGAAACCACAAAGGGACGAAGGATTTCTGAGTTCCTCTCTGTACTGGTTTATATATGCAGTGGCTACTGATAAAGTCAGAGCTCAGACACAAAATAGTGCCTAAACATAGCCTGAACTCACACATTAATTGAAAAAGAGTAATACAGGTTTAGCTTACTAAACCTTCTTTACAGCCAAAACTGCCGCAAACTGGAATCATATTTAATGCTTCAAAAGGACTGATGTGTGTAGTCTCAATGGGTTATCAGACCACTGTAGGACCAGAGATGACACTGAGCTGGCTAAGCGAGGGAAGAGGCCATTTTCTTGGAGTGACAAATATCTAGAGGAGTAGAAACACAGAGTAGAGCCCCTGTTGGGAGAATGCCCGAGCTTTGTCTTTGTCACACAGTGTGACACAGATGCACAGCACCACTCCCTGAGGGGTGCGGTTAGGTGTATGTATGTGTAAATTGTGTGCTTGGGTTTGTGTGTGCATGAGAGCACATTCACATAAGAAAGCTCAGAATCTCCCACCCTTATCATTGATCTCAACTCCTGTACTTTTAGCATTACTGCTTGTGGTCAATGTGAGAAAGAGACCAGAACTAAAACATGAGCAATAATCAAATGCTGAGGAACTTTCTTTGAGTCTTTGGATGAGTCTTGCCATGACTCATTAACATGACTGCTAATAGATCAGCCAGGGTAGCAACACTGTCACCAACTTAAGTCTACTGAGAGGCTAGGTGAGCCAAGCACTGACGCAAGTGGGCTTTTATGGCAGCAGCTGGTATGGGTAGTGACTTGGAGTGAGGTGAGGGAACACTAGTTTCACAGTACTGCTTTGAGCCAGCAAGATTAATGTAGGCTCTCTGGAGCAAAGGCAACATCCAGAGCTTTAATAAGGTACAAACAATCGGTTCCACTCGACTGGCTTCCCAGGGAAAACTATTGTTGTGCTGCATTGTTTCTTGGTGAAGTTCCTTGGAGACACAAGCCGGCTGCAGCATGTGGCTGTCTCCATTACAGCCAAGGGAGAGCTCACTGTAGACCTCTGTTTGTCTGTGTCAGGATGAAGGCTGGCTCTCGCCCACCCCACACCCACCCCCGTGCCCACCCCTATCCCACCTCTCTTCCCATTTACTCCCTCTAAATCCAAACTCTTGTCAGCCCACTCACCTCAACTCCCTGCACTTTCAACTTCATGTGATCCTCCCGTGTGGTCTTCCCATCTTTCCTCTTCTTCCAGCAGTAGCCATCCTTTCTGTACTTCACCTTCTTCCTATTGTACAGTATCATCGACCCATTCTGCGGCCTGGACCCGTCGAGACAGGAGAGACAGAGGAAGAGCAAAAGAGAGAAAGATAAGATAAGATGAGAAGAATTTTTAGGCAAAGCTACAGCACAGCTCAGGGACTCATTTTAGAGATGTACAAAGAAGCCTGACATGAGTCTACGCCAGGCAGAAAATGCACCAGTGACTTAGATGACAAGACTTCTTTATGGTGTTTTTCAGCATTGGTATGCACAGTTTGACAATGAACAAAGCACCCTTCAGCATACATTTCTTCCAATGAGAAGTGTGTGTGCTGTGAGGAGTTAAAGTGACACTCCTTCTCTCAGAGTAAATTATATGAAGGCCAGTTTGTAAGGAAAGCAGCATGGGGGGTGAGTGGGTTTCTTCCTTATCTCTCATTCATCCAACTTAAATGAGTTGTGGTGTTGGAAGTCCCTAGGGGAAAGAGAAGATCTTCCTTCACACTCCATTCATAATTCATTCTCCCTCCACCAGACCACAGCCTGTAGGCTCATAATGATATAATGTACTATTTGATGATAATCTGCCTTTCCATTTCGATTTGTAACAGAGGCATTTGCCGCTCAGTGTTAAACATTAACAGAAAGTGTAGCATAAAACATTTATGACTTTCTCAACAATTAGGAAGCAGTTAGACATGGTTATGTATTAGTATTTATGTGTATTGTGCAGTGGTTACGAATCATCAGTATGAATCCATACATAGTGCTCACTCTCCACAGATTCCCACACACTTGTCCATACCTCCACAGTGCAGTGGTGGGTTTCCATCATTGGACATGGCTTTGACTCAAATTCATTTCCTGGCAACGTCCCCTCACCCTAAACTTATCCCAACCTTGAACCAAGTCTTCCAGGAGTCCAGTCGAAATTATAATGATTAGTGGTATGGGGACTTGCATTTTATCCCCAGAAGCAGAGACAGTCCCCACAAAGTGAATGTAAATGTGGTTAGGTCCCCACAACATAAGTAATACAAGTATAAACACATCACACACAGCTGCTATGATTTGGAGCTCTCCCAAATGAGAACAGGTTTGCATCAGTGTTTGTTGCCTCACAGTGAATGAGTGGGAAAGCCGCCTGCCCAGGCTGCTGAGGAGGCAGTGTAACTGAAGGGGGCTTAACCATCCAGTCAGCTGGTGAACCTTGTTAGTGTTTTGCTCATTGCTCCACACATAAAACACACACAGGCACAGATATGTAAAACTAGAAACACAAAAAAGAGGAAAAACTCTCATCAAAGCGAAGGGGGGGAAAAGTCGGGTTGATTTGTGGCTTCTGTAGCAATAACCAAAATAAGAAAAACCAATGGTTGTTTTGCATTGTTTTGTTGTTTATTGTTAAATTTTTTTCCACAAGATTTATTTATAAAGCTGCATGCATCATTTTGCAGGGCTGCCTTTAGGGGCCAGGGCGTGTGTTTATCTTGGTATCACTCATCAATCATTTTTCCTTGCTGGATCTCAGGGGCCAGTAAAGAGGGAGGAGAAGAGGGGAACTGGGGTCCCTGCAGTCCCCCCTCTGTGGCCCCTGACAGCACCTTCTAATGAGAGACGCCACTCACACACTGATGTGCTCACTCCTTCCTGATCTCCCTTCCTCCCTTTCCTCCTCCCTTTCCCTCGCTGAAGCCTGCTCTTCTCGCCGTCAGTCAACTCAAGCTGTTCACCAGGGAATGTCTTTGTCTCCTCCCTCGCTCCCTGCTCACTCTCTCCCTCTTGTTTCATCTGTCTCAGGATCCCTCACCTACACCCTCCCACACCTCCTTCTCTCCTATTGTCTTCTCCTTACTCACTCCCCTGTCTTGTTCGGTACTTTGCATGCTTTGCAGAAAACAACTATTAAACAGACGTGTTTATTGGTCAGCTTGAGAAGTGGAACTCCTCGATGGCTGTATGCAATATACACAAAGTATAAATTGTTTTGTAGTTTACAGCATCCATAACGTCACCCATCGTTGAGATGCGATCATAAATGGCACTCTGGAGCTAAGAACTTTGCAGATTGCTGTAATCTCATCATGTACTCCTGCAGATCTGCATACCAAATATCACTTGAAGGACGCTCATCTGAGATGCCATTCCTGTTTTTGGTAGCAATCAAACAAGGAATGGCCCTCTAAAAGTTTGATGCTATTATTCGCTTCAATATCATTCTGGGTTTTGTCCTTCAAAAGATACAAGGAGTGTGTGCTTCTTAAAATGTAGCTCTGCGTGAGACAAAAAGATGGGCGCGGATGAGATAAGGCAGAAAATCAAATGACACAGGGCTATCTGATCTCCTCCAGAGCACTGGAAATTGGGGTGAGGCTTCGGTGTCAGAGGCTCCACGCCGTATTTATCGGCTCGGCGCAAAAACTTATTCGCTCAGCTATTTTTGAGGGACTGTTAGGTAGATGCTATTTTCAATTCAAGGCACTTAGGGCCCAGAAGAGAGAGGCTAGGCACCCATTCTGGGGTAGGTCTTAGGCAAAAACTAGTCTAAAATGCATGCTTTGGCATAATGTGTCTCCTTTCCCTCCTGCTGTCTCCCACTCTCTCTCTCTCCCCCTCATCTTTTACTACTGTATACTTAGGCGCTTCAATTAATCTTATCAGAATTACACATATTTATACATGAGGGGAAAAAGCTAACTGCTCCGTTATCAAAGAAGCGTGACAGGAGGCCCTCTGTCTCAGATGCCTAAATGTGGCAGATTAATATGGAAATACAGGCTTCTAAAAAAGTGCACACAAGCTCCACAGCTGCCTCTCTCTTCTTTGGAGTTTGCAGCGATAATAAGCTTCACCCTCAGGGTGGTGTTAGGCCTTGTCCAGTCCTTTAGGAATCACTCATTTACCCAGGTAATGGCATTCACTCAATCAGATCTGTTGATTTGAAAAAGTCAGGGGAGGGTGGAGGTTTTATGAGGCTGGTGACGTGATCAGCATGGGTAACAAAGCCAAAGCAGGGAAACCTGGGCCCAAAGGCAGGTAAGGAAGAAAAAAAACTGCTCACATTCTCAGCTTTACTGTCTAAAGGCCTGTCGGCACAAACAGAAACAGAAAGGGAAAAGCTACATGCACACAAAAAGCGAAATCTGAGTGAGAACAAGAGATTCTTCTGTTCTCCACAGCTCTGGTGAATCGCCTTGGATTAAAATGAAAAAAGACACAACATGTAGGCCATACATTATTCATAATACATGGTATAAGTTATTACTTTTTTACTGGACTTAAAACTACTCAATTGTAGCAGGTGTGCTCAAGTGTAAGACAAGAATACTAAATTGGTAGTCCAGGTTATAATAGTAAAGGTTATGCTTCTTTCTGAATGTATTTTTGTCAAAAGGCTTACAAGAATGAAATATCTCAGTCCTGGTGAACTGGCGTAGCCCACTCCGCCACATTCCCTGTGATGCTCTAGGTTTGATTAATACCATGCTGCAATACATGCTGTTTTTCTCCCTAGCAAGCTCGACTGACATTGGAGAGGAGAGAAGAGCTGGGCTGGAGAGGCTTTGAAGATCGGAGGGTGAGCTGGTTGGGGCCTGAAGTGGCTCAGGAGGGAGGCGACACCTGCTGTTCTCAATTACCCATCGGAGCCTTCAGCCATCACAGCCTTTACCCCACTGTGTCAACAACCACACTTCTACCTACTACTCATCTAAACACATCCACATACACACACCTGTATTTTGTGTTACACAAAAACCAATCCTATTAAGAATAAATATGAGGGATAAATATGCCCCTGGGCACTCGAACAGAAGCACAACACACAGTAACCCCATTGCTCCATATGGGGATAACATTATTAACACGAAGAGTGACAGACCATCAATAACACACTGATGCTTGTCATTACAGTTTCTGTCAATCACAGTTAAAACATAAATCACGTGTTCATACGCATGCGATTGGGAGCACATGCGCACACTTGGAGCTGTCAAAACTTTGCAGCGTTTTTTCGCATGTAATGTAATTACATGGCAAGCAATGGTGCTCTATTAGACAGCACATGATCTTTGAGCTAGATGTGTGAACAGAAAGGTGCTGGCGTCAGGAGCCCCTATCTGGACGCATCACGTGCAATTGATGACTCGCAGATAAGCTGCTCCTTTCAGACCTGCCAACGAATGCATCAGGAAGTGGGGCGTACACTAAAACTACTTTAAATGTAAATCTGCCATGGCCTCATGATTGAGATTCATCGTCTGTACTGCTCTGAAACCCTCCAACTCCCCCGCTAGTGTGCGTATGTCGAGATGCCGCAGGTCGCGTTCCTCTTTGACTGCCAATGAGGCCTTAGCACCTGGTCACTGTAATGCCTTACTGCTGAGTGGCTCAGGACTCCAGCCCTCAACCATTCTGATAATTAAGACAATGAGGGCTGTGTGGTGGGTTAGTCAGCTGGAACAAGTCATGCATCTTTTTAATCATAGCTCATGATCTATTATTTTTCCTATTAAAAATTTTCTCACCTCTGCAGACTTTTTGAAACACATTTGAATTTTATTCTAAATATTTTTAATAAAAAAACTAATTTAAGAGTATAAAACAATGGCTGACACGAATTAGACTGAAGTAAATGATGGAAGTTAAGTTTTCCAAACATGGCGTCAGATACTGATCTCCAAGGCTGTACAGATGGAGCTCAATGTTTATTTACCCAGTGTTCAGCTAAATACAACAGTAATAATGAGAGGGTAGCTAGGCCCCTGGAGTTGTAATTCAGGATAGGGAGACAGATCGTGTGCCTCCCCTCTTCCTCTCTATCTATACTGCCGGTGATTGCCACAGAACTCAAGCTCCGGCCCACTGCCTTCCAGCACAAAACAGATGTTTCCCCCACACTTATCTCAATGAAAAAATCACAGACAATTTACAAAGAATATAAATTACTGTTGTAGCTGCACATCAGTGTCTCTGTCCCTATAAGACCTTGTAAAGAGGATAAGGGTGAATTGCTGTGGGAGGGTGGGTGAATTGTTGGGGGACAACATAAAGCGGATG